CGTCTTGGGGCTTTTGGGGGCCCTCTTGAGAGCTTCTTGGCCGTCTGGGCTGTCTCTTTCGGCCGTCGTGGGGCCGTCCTTGTGTCCTCTTGGGTCCCTCCGAAAGCCTTTTTGGAGGCCCCCTTGGGCCAGCTTTGGCTCCCACTCTGCCTGCGGCGCCCGTTTAGGAGCCCATACCTTGAAAGCACGAGGTGAGGTGCCAACGACTCGGGGAGCCAGACTCCTGCTGCCATCCCTGAAAGGGGAGGTGGGAGGGAAGGGGCAAGCTACGTGCGCTCGCGCCATAGCTGACATCATAGCCCTCGTACCCATCCATTCCTATTGCAGTGCTTTTCTTTGTCCCCCGAAGGTGTCCTAGTGGACCTGCTGGATCTTTCAAGAAGTCGAGGAGGGAGGAGCAGAAAGAGCAGCAACAGCAGAAACAGCAGGACCAGGTAAAGTGGGATGAGCAGGAAAGCCAGGGAAAGGCGGACGAGGGGAAAGGAGGGTGGGCAGCAACGACGAGGAAGGAATCGGATCCAGAGATGTGGCCCGCGCTGAGGCGAGAGCGCCAGTCAGAGCGACGGGAGCAAAGCACCGATCCTAAAATGTGGCCAACAATGCAGCCAGAACACCATTTGCAAGGGCCGTGCCTGTTCTGTTTGAAAAGGTCGGTTGCCAACTCGGGGCAATTTTTGTGTAAACGCTATATGCGGGATACGCTGGGGGAGATAAATTCTAGAACCTGGGAGGAAGGCCTTCCCTAGGCCTAAGAGGGGGTTCGTAATGTGCATCAGGCTAGGCGCGCTCGGGCCATCTCTAACGTTCACCCCTTCTTCCAATCTCTTCCCATTGCGTTGAACCCCTCTCGGTTTGCAGAGTCAGGTATCGGGAAATCATTGGTCCCCGTGGTGTTTGCTGCCGCTCGACCGTGCATGCAGCAGAGCGCGGCACGCAGCAGAACACGGCGCGGGCGGACGCAGTGGGAGCGGCCAGCGCCGCGACGAGTGCGCCGTTTCTTTGGACTGTGGCCCTGTGGAACTTGATGTGGCACACGCTGCAACGATACCGCCGTGTGTGCCGGCGCAGGGGGGGCGGCCAGCGCTTTGGCGAGAGCGTTTTTCCGTTGAACGCAGGCTCCATGCAAGTCATAACATGCGGCCCGCGGAGCACCGGAGCAACACTTCTGTTGAGGTGGGAGTGCGGTCAGCACCGCGACGAGAGCGTCGTTCCCTTGGACGGAAGAGCAACCGAAATGTTTACATGGCGCAGCCACTGCGGCGGGCAACGCCACGAATACGGTCAGCGCTGCGGCGAGAGCGTCGTTCCACTTCTGGTGGATGGAGGCCCTTCGGGGATCAGTCAATGTTGCAAACGCTGCAGCGGGAGTGCCACTTTTGCAGGACCGAGAACGTTCTGAATTCAAAAGCACAGTCGCAAACCAACTCGGGACAGTCTGATGTAAAGCCACTGTATACGATGCTTGGGCGGGCGCAGATGAAGACGGCACCAGGGGAGAGGAGAGCAGCGCCCACGTTGTGCGACTGCGAAGGCTGGACGAGGAGCTGGGGGAGAGGGGACAGTGTGGGCCCGCGATCGGCGGGTCGGGCCCATTGGCTCGGCCAAGCAGGCGCGTGCACCGATCCTGGGCCAAGCACGGGCCTGGCCTGGCCTCAAGCTCGGTCGGTGCACGTTTGGCGTCGCCGGTTCCTCACCTCAGAGGCGTAATTTTCCCACGATTACGTTAAAAAGTTGTGGGTGGAAGAACAAACATGATGTCCGCATGGGCCCGCGTCGGAGGAGTGGAAATGCGAGCGCAATGGCGCGCGCGGTCGCGCGCGACCCACTGGTGGCAATAACGTGACGCTCCCGCTGTCTGATACACTCCCAGCAGGGCCTGCGCACACCTGGCCTGGTGGTCTGCCTCCGGGCGGCGACCGTTTAGCTTGCCGCCTCGGCCCTTACTCCTCCCAGTCCCAGTGAGGCCTGCCCTCTTCGGGTGGTATTGGGATGATGCGAGCGCGTTGCTGTATTCAGGCGCATCTTTTGTTCTCTTCCGCCCGTCCTTGCTTCCCGTCCCAGAGAGCTAGGCCCTGGGGTAGCGTCCTATCTCTTCCTTCCTTCCTTCTCCCTCTCCCCCCTCTCTTTTTTCCCGTAAAGGGCTCGAGCCCAGGGTTCTCTTTTAGTTGGTTCCCCCCGGTTTCGACGGCTGTAGGGCCGGCGAAATTATTCTGCGATAAATTACGTGCGGGAGTAGGGCCGGCGGAATTATTCTGCGATGAATTACGTGGTAAAGTGTGAATTTGCACGTGGTCCCGAGCTGGAACCACGTGTTTTTACGTGTCCAGGCCACCCAGGGGGGGTATCTGACACGGTGGTGTCGCGCTGGAACCACGTGTTTTCACGTGTCCAGGCCAGACATGGGGGTATCTAACATGGTGGTCCCGAGCTGGAACCACGTGTTTTCGCGTGTTCAGGCCACCCAGGGGGGTATCTAACATGGTGGTCCCGAGCTGGAACC